GATTCAGGTGTGTTGAACAAAAGGCACATCTAAAAGTTGAAGGATACCGGCCCCCAGGAACTGGAATTGCCCACCCTTGCCCTAAGGGGTTCAAACAATAGGTCCCCCCATTTCAACAAATGACTAGAAGAGTTCTGCCTTTTAAGACAGGAAAGTATAGCGGTTAAAGTTACTACTTGAGAAAATACTTACCCATAGAGATAAAAAAAAGCCCTGTGATTCAAATTATAAATTGTATTTGGAATAAAAATGAGAGAACTTGGGGTGTTAAAAAAACACATCCTCCAAAGACAGATATTTACTTGGGAATGTGGCATAAAATGAATTGACCTATCACTTCACTTCACTTCCATAAAATACAGGATCTTCTTTATTTTACTTTGCCAGAAGATTTAAACTTTAAAAACCTTGCCCTCATAATTTGCAAGTTAATTTATTTATAAAGAAAATATAAAGCTGCTTAAGCTGATTCAAATGAAATTAAAAGTAAAATAAGTAGCCAACCTTATCACTGTCTGTAACCTACTTACAAGGTAAGGAAAGCATCAGATGAGCTACCTGAGAAACGTTACGTTTCCCCACTTTAAAACGAAACTGATGACCTCTCTTCACTGCCATTGAAGGCTCCAACGTGTTTTCTTTTCAGGTGCTGCATCGTAACAGTGATGCTTCCGTGCCATGTTAATTTGTTTTTACAGAAGTTGCATGTGACGACTTCTTTCGCTTTACAAAGCGCAGGCTGTCTGCGAATTAAGACACAGCTTGCATTTGCGGTATCAGTCATTAGAACAGTTGACGTTTCTGCCTTTTGAAAACAGCCTTTGCTCACCTGCGGCACTGGCTTGCTCTGCCGTATTTTTTTTCTTCCCCCGTTTCAATCGAGTGGCAGTGATGACGACGGCGGCGGATGACGCATTAATCGCTTGACACAAATAATTGATGATGAAATTTGTTGCCAACGCTTTTAAAAGTCCATTTTTATTGATTTTATCGATTCGTTGTTGCAGCCCTAACATATATATATATATATATATATATATATATATATATATATATATATATATATATATTTACACAAGTCTGTACGCTCTCACAAAAGTATTAAGAATTACACAAATATTATATTTTCACATGATTTGCTGTCCTTTGGTTTTCATGTGTGTATGTCATAGGGGTGTAAATCACATCCATCATGGCGATTCGATTCAGTATCGATTTCCTGACCCAACGATTCGATTATTTTCGATACTTAAGAATACACCACAATTCGATTCGATTCGATTAATCGATTAATTTTTTTATTATTATTATTATTATTTTTTTTTTTTTACACCTTACAGGCTAAACAAAGTTTCAAGTTTGAAATAAATCAATGAAAGCTGTAAAATCATTATGCATTTTCTTTAGAAACAACAGCAAATAACAGAAGTAGAAAAGTTGCATCAAAAAATACTGCAAAAATACTGCACAATATCAGTGTAATGAGTTCAATGCAATACCTCGGCTCCAGAGAAACTGTCCAACATATTTTTTTAGAATGTAAAAAATATATTCAGGAAAGAGAGATGTTGTGTAGAGAGTTAGACAGATATAAGGGAATTGTTTCAAAGGTCATCTGGGGATGTAGTTTTTGGTAGTATTTTTAATTTTCTAAGAAGAACGGGTATTTTAGGGAGAATATAATAGTTTGTCTGGTCCATACTCCATTCTGGAAGGTGGCGGTAATGCAACTATAAGTTGTTTGCCAACCGCCATTAAAAAAAAGAAGAAGAAGAGCTCCAGAGTGTTGACGTCACCGCCCCTTGAGAGACGCTCCGCTGCTCCTCTCCCAGATTGTAGCTGACCGCAAACAGTGCACCAGACAGGAGGCCGGCTTGTTTTGTTTTTATGACCGAAATTGCGGAAAACAACTCGTGAAGTTTGACCCGCTAGAAGAGCGAGGTGCGCGAGAAAGCTGGGAGCCTTTTTCCAGCTGAATCTCCGCTCTTTTTGCCCCATTGTCCCTCCGTCGTCGGACTAAACTCGCCGCCACTTCCTCATCGCCTCGGCCGTATTTAGACCCACAGCGTGTAGCCCAGACCACGCTTCAATACTGAGCATAATTTAAAAATGTCTGTGTGAAGCTTGCTGCAACAAACTGCTGTAAGAGTATAACCAGGAAGCGCGGTAGGAGGGCAAAATAGGTTTAGCGGCACCGCAGCACGGGAGGGAGAATTACGCCCAGGAGCAAATGGATAAAAATAGACCGGAGGGAAAAAAAAAACATTAATCGATTATCTTGCGGACGTGTCGATGCATCGGATCGTCGGCTTTTGGATCGATGCATCGATACAAAACGATTATTATTTACACCCCTAGTATGTCAGATGTTGTCATCACATACAGAAATACAATTGCAATCATATTATGAGTAACAAAAGCTTTTAAGGACAGTTAGAATGAGTTAATGCAGCAAGTCAATATTTGCAGTCTTGTCTACTCTTCTTCAGGACCTCTGCAATTCTCCTTGGCATGCTCTCAATCAAATTCTGGACCAAATCCTGACTGATAGCAGTCCAATCTTGCACAATCAATGCTTGCATTTTGTCAGAATTCCTAGGTTTTCGTTTGTCCACTCGTCTCTTGATGATTGACCACAAGTTTTCAATGGGATTAAGATCAGGGGAGTTTCCAGGCCATGGACCCAAAATCTCTATGTTTTGTTCCCTGAGCCAGTTAGATATCACCTTTGATTTATGGCAAGGTGCTCCATCATGCTGGAAAAGGCATTGTTCATCACCAAACTGCTCTTGGACGGTTGGGAGAAGTTGATCTCGGAGGACATTCTGGTACCATTCTTTATTCATGGCTGTGTTTTTAGGTAAAACTGTGAGAGAGCCGACTCCCTTGGCCGAGAAGCAACCCCACACATGAATGGTTTCAGGATGCTTTACAGTTGGCATGAGACGAGACTGGTGGTAGCGCTAACCTCGTCTTCTCCTGACAAGATGTTTTCCAGGTGTCCCAAACAATTGGAAAGGGGATTCATCAGAGAAAATGACTTTACCCCAGTCCTCTGCAGTCCACTCCCTGTACCTTTTGCAGAATATCAGTCTGTCCCTGATGTTTTTCCTGGAGAGAAGTGGCTTCTTTGCTGCCCTCCTTAAGACCAGGCCTTGCTCCAAGAGTCTCAGCCTCACATTGCGTGCAGATGCACTCACACCTGCCTGCTGCCATTCCTGAGCAAGCTCTGCACTGCTGGTAGCCCGATCCCACAGCTGAAACACTTTTAAGAGATTGTCCTGGCGCTTGCTGGTCTTGAACATCAACAAAGCCCGTCACAAATCCCTGTTAACTGATCAACACCACAGAGCTATTTTGAGAATTGCCACCACAAAACTAACTCCAGGATTGATACACTGGCAAAAAAGAAAAGAAAAGCAACACCACTTTTCCCACCTAAATGTGAGTCAATTAACATGCCACACATTGCTTTCAATTTAAAGACCTCTTTCATTCGTTGGGTAATATTTTCTGAATGTTAAAAGCAGGGTTTCCGGGGGTCATTAAATAATAATTTTTTTAATTCAGGTTATGACCTGTTCTCAGCTCAGGAACAAGGACCCGTGTGATATCTGGTTGTTCAATAGTGTTTGCTTAAATAAAAAATTTAGATATGACTTATCAAGACATTCCTGCAAAAAGGTCTGATGTTTCAGGGGCAGGTAATGAAAAGTGTTTGGAGCATGCTCTTGTTCTGATGCCAGTTTGTTTCAGCCTTTATCCAGTCTCATCTAGGAGAGCTGGTCACATCACAGGTTATTTGCATTACAACATGGACACTTAGCAAGTCAGAGTGAATACACAAACTTGAAGAGGGGAGGGGGGCTTGCAGGAAAACTGGAATTCTCCGGGACATCTAGTGTTAAGATGTTTGGCGTAGAAAAATGGAAAAAACTGCCTAAATATCTGTGGTATAAGCTGATGGCGTCATATTCAGTAAAGAATTTCTGCTGAGATTGTTGCTGAAGATGGATCAACAAACTACTAAGCAAAGGTTGTGTATACTTGTGAATTCCGAGTATTCTATTTTGAAAAAAAAGGAAAAAAAAGAAAATTCAAAATGGAAAAAAAAAACATTTCTACATTGACATAAGTGGGTTTTGCTTTTAGAAGAAAGAGATTAATTACTGTTATTCTTATGGATTAAGGCTGGGACATAATGAAATGTGGGAAAATTTAAAGACTGAAAGCCCGCTATAGCTGTACAAATATTTTATGGTTCTGTTTGTTTTAGGAATTGCTGGATTAGTGATACCATATGGTATGAATTTCATGTCAGTTGAAATATTATGTAGTGTATTTGCTGACAAACGGGTGTTGCATACACCCTCATAGGTTGTAGTAAAATAATTACCCTGTAAAAGATTAAGGCCTCGATCTTCAGAGATTCCACTAAATTGCATATGCATGTTAAGACATGCAAACTGGTCTACTTCCGCCCATGAAAATGAGCAGCGTGTAGAAGCAGTTTAAAAGTGGCTATAAAGGAAAGTTGAAATACAAATCCATGGAGATTAAGATATTTATTATTCCTAAAATAATGATGATAATATAAAATATTTAGAGTGTACCTTGTAGCCTTTCTCTAAAAGCTATGAACATCAATAAAAAATGCAGGGAAAAAAAGGACAGAAAGAAAGTTTGGTTTTGGATTTGATAATTTGCTTTGCATGTGGAAAATGTCTAAATTTACTGGTTGGTTATTAGAATATGATCTGCATATTGATAGAAGCACACATGCAAAAAAAAGATTTGCACCGGCCATCTGCAAATCAAACGCAAAACACTACACCTTCTTTAGAGACAGGCTCTGCCTATACAAACATGTTGCAGCTGTTTTAAGACACACAAACCTTCAGAAGGTCAGGACCTAAGTCCTAAAACCAAATCCTTGCCTAATCTTTGGTTTGACTGCAGAGGTTTTTACTATTGTATAAAATCTAACATTTTTTCTGTAGGTGTTTGATGAACTGAAGCAGAGGGAGCTTGAAAATGCTAAAAATCAGGAGGATATGCAGGTAAAAAAGACAACTCTAGAACTGTTGCCAGATGCAGACAACAACTTGCAGAAGCTTCAGGTAAAAATGTATCTCTGTAATCACGTGGTAAACCTTTCAGCAAGGCTTTTCCTTTCTTACCACTCATTCTGTTCCCTCCAATAGTCTCAGGTGGAAACTGGTGCAAGTCGGGTGGTAAATCTGGCATCTCAGTGGGAAAAACATCGTGCTCCACTAATTGAAGAACTACGCAGACTAAAACAAATCTGCAGCAGCAAGGACGTAAGTGGTGCAGTAAATTCGATATGCACTCTGTAAATTCAGATGGTTTTATTGTTGTCCCTTTTTCCTCAGCTGGAGTCTTCTACAAAACTTTCAGAGATCAAGCATCTACATGAAAAAATTTGCATGGCCACAGAGGACGCAAAGAAGAAGGAAGAATCATATAAGCAGCTGGTAAGTCACGCAGCTTCACATCTAAATATCTGTTAGTTCTATTTCATTCCTACTGACCACCAGAGGCGGTGCTTGAAGCATGAATGATCACTCTTGCACATGCACAGGTCGAGAATCTTACCAACATAGTCACATGTGACCCCCGGTGACACTGGTGAGCCTATATAATCACGTGAGAACGATAGCTCAGTACCTTTTCGTCTTCTCGGATGCAGGTTGAACAGGTGGTAAGACACTGTTGTTGCTTATCTCTGGTAGCCTAGAGACTTAGGTCGGAGTTGCGATGATCATCTCGCCCTCCGAAGGCTTTGCAAGCTCTTCGTTAATACTTTTTGGTTTCTTCGTCCGGTAAGTTTTTCTCTCCTTATCGACAGCAAATGGTGACCCGTTCTCACCGCGACTCTCTGTTGCAGGTGCCTTTACGTTAGCTGACTCAAACCAGCTTGTTAACTGGCAGTCGCAGGCTTGCATTTTTGTTTACTGTACAGCTCCTTCGTGTTTGCCTACTACTGTAGCATCCACTTTTCGGGCTTGCTTTTTGTTTATTGTGCAACCGCTTTCAGGCTTGCTTTTTTGTTTATTGTGCAGCCGCTTCCGAGCTTGCTTTTTTGTTTATTGTGAAGCCCCTTTCGGGCTTGCATTTCATTTATTTTGGAGCCGCTTTCGGGGTTGCATTTTGTTTATTGGGCACCCGCTTTCGGGCTTTCATTTTGTTTATTGTACAGCCGCTTTCGGGTGCTTTCAGGTTTGCATTATGTTTATTTTGCAGCCGCTTTTGGGCTTGCCTATATTTTCTGATAGCAGCCGTTTTCCGGGCTCGCATTTTGTTTAATGTGCAGCCGCTTTCGGGCTTGCCTACCAGTCATAGCAGTCGTTTTTTAAGGCTTGCTTATTTGTTTATTGGTAGCCGTTTTTGGGCTTGCTTTTTACTTTCACTGCCGTGCTTAGGGCTGGGTACCGAACATCGGTTTTTTTATGGTACCGACCGAAATGCTTCGGTTCTACAGAGTATCGAAACAAGCCTCGTCTTTCGGTGCCAAGTTTCTGTGATTGGCTGTAACACTTAACGTGATTGCGTCATCCAGGAAAAATACATAGGTGGTCACGCCTACAGCCAGGGTTCATGTGTATCTGTTGTGAACTGGTTGCGAGCGTCGTGGAACCCCTTTAAAATGCTCCCCAGGTCAAAAGTGTGGCTTCACTTTATTAAGACTGATGCCAATAGTGTGCAATGCAATACATAGTGCACAGAAACAATTTAAGAGCAGAAAGTTGCTTGGTGTTTGACTGCAAGAAAAGCGGACCGCAGCCGGCGCAACCATCATCCTCTCAGCAGCCCGTGGGCAGCTTGGCTAGTCCTGCTTGCAGCCTTGCTGCTGGGGAACCCCTGGTGGCGTTTTCTGCTCGATCGGGTTTCCCGACCTGTTCGCTCGGGTTAAGTGTCAAGAGTGGCGATTTCAGCTTGACCTGACCTGGCCCTGTGAGCGTGAGATGTTGGACGTGCCGTGCTGCAGAGCTTGTTTGGCCCCTCTCCAGTTGGAGGATGGGCATGATTTGTGTCTCTCTTGTTTGGGACTGGATCAGCTAAAGGAGGCTTTGACTGATGCGGCCTGTCCTAATTGTTCTGTCCTGCCTATGTCCCAGGTGATGCTTGTTTGGCTGGGCTTCAAGGCGCCAGCCAGCCTGTGAAACGTGTGGCTCCTGAGGCTATGGGGCCTCCACGGAAGAGGAGCATGAGGTGCTCCAGGATTTTAGAGGGCATGTCTCGGCAAGTGGCCCAGCTTGCTTCTGAGCTGGAGGGGATGAATGGGCTGGTTGAATCCCTTAAGGGCGATGGTTCAGTAGTGGGCACTGTGAGAAATGCTCTTGCCGGATTGCAGCTGGATGCTCCACAGGACCAACCTGTGGCTTCCAGTGCTTTCTTTCGGCGTCCTACTCCTAGGTCGTCCTTTGTGGTTCCCCCATCTGCAAAGTATGTGAAGGAGGTCCATTCCTGTTGGGCGTACACTAAGGCCTTTTCGAGGCTGACCTCTGCTGACAGAGCACTGGTGGCCATGCAAGATGAGCCCAATTTTTGCTTGGGCCATATGCCTTCTGTTGAGCCGGCCATAGCTTCCCTCATTGTGGTGCCTGATTAGGCTTTGAGAGCTAATGCCAGGTGTCCTCGTCCTCAGTGTCGTGTCACTGATGATCTGCTCTATGGCACTGGAAATCCCAGATTTCTTGTCCTTCCTGTCACAAATGCAGGAAGGACTCACATTGGGTTTGTGAATGGGACAATTGTAGCTTCATATGTAGTGCTTTTCCTTGGGTGAAATAAATGTTACTCCAATACTGAGATCATACTGTTTCATACTGTCATTTTCTAAGCTGAAATGTTGAATGGCATGAAAAGGTGAGACAAGACAAAATACAATTATTCTCTGAGTTGTTCTTTCTTTCACATAGTGGGCTTTGCAATATAAATTAGTCTGTTG